AAATTTAGGGTTGCATGCACACATAGGATTGTTTATTATGCTCAAAACTCATCAGCCATATGTATTAGCTTTTAGCCACATCATGTTCATGTGGCTAACTCAACTCTATGATTTAGACACACAAACAATTGTTCATGTCACCAGATACTTACCTATCGCCTCATATAAAAACAATTACAAACACATACCAAAAATCAAATAAATACCATGGCGAATGGCTACATTTGGTCACACGTATCGAGTGTGGTTGGTAATTATCACATTTTTAATCTAAAATAATGGCTAATGTTGTCGAAAATTATACAATCGTCACACGTATCGCAAATAAAATGTGACTAACACTAGGTGAAATTTTCACTACCGAGTTTAGCCACACGAAAATCGAAAGTATCATAGGGCGGTTCCGGGAAAAATGCGGCTATATGTCACACCCCAAAACCGGAACGGCGGAAACGTTCGGGGGTGGAGGACGTCATGTTTAGTATCACAAGACATGCATCATAGTAATTAAAGTAATAAACAACCATTTCATTAGAAAGAAAGTGTTTACAAAGTATGTGGTTCACATAACATAGACTACAAAGTAAATAACAAAATAAGACATGAAGCTATACTGCTCCATCTTCTGAATCCCAGTGCGCGTACCTGTCTACTGGTCTCCTGAGAATCAAGTTATTTTGAAAGAGTAGATCAGCATTTAAGCTGGTGAGTTCATAAGATTTTAGTGATGTAAGTAAGTCGTAAGAAAGTTGTAGTAAGTTGTAAGTTCTGATTTGAAAAGTTCGCCTGTTCCCCCAAAAAATCCTATATTTCCTGCTTTGATGAAAGATAAGTAAAAATGACTCTACAATCCTTTCTATGCGTACTAAATGGATACAAGTTATATAAAATCCAGAGTAAACAAAAAATCGGTTGTGTGTATCTGCCCTAAGCCCACAACTAAACAAGGAACAGAAAATGAGGCGGAAGGCATACATCCCATTGTTTGTTAGATCATCGTTGTATATAACCCTTGCGTATTCACTTGGTACTCACGGAGTTAATTGTAATAGTTCCTTTATATTTGTTGAAAAGATTCTTTAAGAAAACCCTTATTTCTTTTAGTAAAAATGGTAACCACAGTGGTTCCTTCTATAATCACTTAGTTTATACTAGCTATATATAATCTAATATCGAACGGATAGTTAATTATGTGAATCTGCCCTAAGCCCATAACCAAATAAGGAACAGGAAATGAGGCGGAAAGATCACATCCAACTACCTATCGGGTATTGATTATATATAACCCTGATGTATAAACTAAGGTATTATAAAATCAACCACCTAAGGTCCTTTAAGTTTATACTGGTTTAATAAAATGAATTAAACCCTTACTGGTAAGTTTCTAGTTTTGAATACCAAATGTTCTATTTGAAAAGTATGTTTTGTACTAGAAAACTGTGCATTGAATTAGTGTCCTATGAGCTGACCCATACCTGGTACCCCTTATGATTACTTGTTGTATACGGAATATATATATAGCTAAGTTCGAATAAATAGTAGACTGGGTGAATCTGCTCTAAGCCCACAACCAAACAAGGAACAGGAAATGAAGCGGAAAGCACACATCCTACTACATGTCGGATCCGATTAATATATATCTCTGATGTATAAACTGAGGAATCATAAAGGTAGCATTATAAGCCCCTCTCTACTGAATGTACTAGACTCGACTGTTCTGTTTGAAAGATGTAAGCTTTCCCTAGTTTATAACTATCTTAACTCGAAAATAGTTTGCATTAACTTTCAAGTGGAACTGTCACAATATGAAAGTAATGGGAAAAATGAAAGTATACAGTTGTCTTTTAAATTGACATATTGAAGTACTTGTTCATGTTACTAGTATGTTATGAGCTTGGTATATATATTCATTTGTTTTATTTATTAATATCCGGTACTTTGTAGATGTACCCCATATATATATAAATAATGGCATATTGTAGATGCACCATATATATATATATATATATATATATATATATATATATATATATATATATATATATAACCATTACACTACTTTTATTATCACCTTTTGTTTAGAACAATGAGTTAGTGATACGTTCCCTTCCTAGGTTACCAGGAATCCTTAGTATAATTAATTTAATCATGATTTGTTCTTCTGTTATAATATCTTAGTATGTTCTCTTTGTATAGTGTATAGTATGTCTCTCTGTTGTATTGTATCTACCTCCCTGTTTCTCTTTATAGTATGATCTAGCATCTAGTATGAACTGAACCCCTAAACTATACCTACTATAAAAACGGAGTTTTATTAACTATATCTACCTCCCTGTTTCTCTTTATATCTACCTCCCTGTTTCTCTTTGAAAAGACTCATTTATCTACTAAGTTATGATTGTACTTTAAAAACAGAGTTTTATTAACTATAAAGTAACATAACTTAAAAAGAGTTTTTGAAATGTTTTGATCACTTATAAAAGACATAAGTAATCTTTTGAAAGATGTTTATAACAAACATTTACACAATTATCATTGTGTTCAACTTGTATTCCCCCTCTTAAAAGCATTTAAAACAATTTAAAAGATTGATTATAGGGGTATGAACTCACCTTATGTGGGTGATTCAAATAAATATGCGCGTAAGGATTAGAAGTTCCACAAATGAAGTCCCGAGACACAAACGAGTCCTAAATGCCATATATTGACATATATTGGCATGAATATAGTGTTTAGAAGCAACCACATGCAAGGAAACACCTTTACGGACTAGGAAACACTTGGACCAAGTGTTAGAATCACATGTGATTCATCAAAGGGGAGTGTACGACAACAATAGGGAGTGTGCGGCCTTGGTGTTTACGGCCAGGAGAGTTTACGGCCAAGGGGTTTACGGCCAAGGGAGTTTACCGCCGTAAACTCCTCGAGATCACCCTCAAATCGTTTGTTCCAGGTGGTTAGGCTAGTGATTCTACTAGGTAGCAAGTGTATGAAAGGAATACTCTCGATTTTGAAGCCTTAAAGGGGTTTTCGGCCAGCAAGAACAAGTGTGTGTTCTTGGTGTTCTTGGTGAAAGATGAAGATCTTGAAGATCTACCCAAAAAGATGATTTCCATGGATGAAATCAAAGGGTGATTCATGATTAAGAAGAATAACAACAACTAGATGGAAGAATTACTTACGTTTTTTGAAGATCGGGGATGAAGAATTCGATGATACTTGAGAGAGAATGGATGTTCTTGACTTGAAAGTGTAAGAATGAAAGAAAAGTGAAGGAAATGAGACTTAAGGGGGGGAGTTTACGGCCAACCTTGAGTTTACGGCCGTAAACTCATGTGTTATGGCCGTGAACTCCTTTTAGTGGTGTTTAAGGCTTGGATGTTGTACAGTGACTCTAGCAGGTACTTCCTAACACTCATTCCTTGAATGTACCAGGCGTAGAACACTCAAACAGACTCTAAATATTGCTAAAAGATAGCAAGAGCGAGTCTGACTTATGGTTGATTGTACTGACTTTACAAGGAAAAAAATTTCGGGTTGTCACACTATAGGTCATTTTTTTACTAGTGTACAGAACGGTAATGAAATGGATAATAAGAAAATAAGATCTAATATCCTATATATAAGAATCTAATAAGAGTCCTAATAGAACTCTACTTGGAGAGCAAGAAAAAAACATCAACCTTACTGAACAAGAAAGTTATGACAGATTGTCAAACTCTCTGGCGATAGTTTCCGGGAAGTATCACCAAAAAAGAAATCACATGCATACGATTGGTTCAGATCATATTAACCAGTGTCCTTCTTTGTCATGCATTCTAATGATCTCTTTTGACCTCACATTTACACGAGGCCTTCTTTGTCATGCATTCTAATGATCTCTTTTGACCGCACATTTACACCTACTGTAAGTGCATAACTTACTTGTTGACTGAATTTCATCCCAAACACTTCGAAGCTTGGTGTAATATGCTGAAACAATACTCATACCTCCTTGGTGTATGGTGGTAAGGGTGCGTCGTATTTCGTAAGCTCAAGCTGCATTTTCTTTTTCGAATCTTTCTATAAGATCTTTACATATGTCGCGAGCTGTGATTGCATATTTGCTTATTTGACATTCTTTTTGATCTCCTTTTCCATTGAACTCGAGAGCCAACCTCTCACCATTGCATTGCATTGCTTCTAATCTTATTTTTAGCGAAAAATGCGTTGGTCATCTCACTTTGCCAATCACTATATTTGCCATCGCGAAGAAGGTTTTCCCCAAAAAAGTTTTGTCGGGGATTATCTGAGGGAGGTAAGAAAATATGGTGAGGAGATATCCATGATCGATTTGTTTCCCTTCGAGCGACTACCGAGTTTTCTTCGGTCATGATTGAGTATGAAAAAAACTTGTGTTTGGATCTCAGGTTTTGCTCTGATACGTTTAGAAGGAATCATTAAGAAGAAAGCCAGGGGCATATTTTCTAAAGTAAAGTGACTTTTTTTTTCTAATGATGTATTTTTATTTTCTATTAATATTAGTTTTATTAAATTAAAAAAAATATGAATGGTGGAATGATCGAGTACGGGAATTAATAACTATAACCAATATTATAACTGAGCTTACAATCACATTTTAAAATATTTATTTGTGAATTCGACTCAACTTAGTTTACCGACATGAAATATGTCTTTTTTGAAATGACGAATTGAATATATAATAAAAAAACCTAGAAATTAGCAGGAAGCAAAAAACTAAGAAGAGGTGAATACATGTCGACGAACCAAATCTTGTCGACACGGCCTGACTACACAAATTGACTTTGATGGAACAGCTTTGAAAGTGGGTTATTAATGCTATGCATCTTCATTTCGCCACTTAAACCATCTATTCATCATCTCACTTTCCTTTATATAAAGCCTCCCCAAATCTCATTAAAAAAAAAAAAAAACACAAACGAACTAAGTGTTCAATTCTACGTTTTAAAGCTTCTTCTATAACTTATCGAGTGAAAAAAATGGCAGAATACGGAGGAGATCAGACATACGAAAGAGAAGGTCGGCAAACAGATGAGTATGGCAACCCTGTTCAGAAAACTAATGAGTACGGAAACCCACTTAACTCTACCACCGACGAAACCATGGGTGATTATGGTGTCACTGCTCACCAGGGTCTAGGTCAGGCCACCGGAGCAACTGAATCTTATCAAAACCAACCTAGCGCCACCCCTTTGTCCGGCAACATTGGCATAGGAGCTGGGGCAGGCTACGATCAACATAGAGAAGAAGTCCACGAGAAGAAAGGGGTGACGGAGAAGATCAAAGAAAAGCTTCCCGGTGGTCACAACACGGACCAGCATCAAAGGGTGTCCACAACAACAGCAGGCGGTGTTGGTGGTGGTGGTTATGGGGAAGGGGAAACCCAGGAGAAGAAAGGGGTGATGGAGAAGATCAAAGATAAGCTTTCTGGGCATTAGATCCTATGATATCTTTGTGACGATGCATGTGTATATAGAATAATGAGATGGCAGAATAATAATCTGGTGTATTTGGTGTCGTTTGTCATGTATGTTCTTGATGAGTAACAAGCATAGAGGTGGGATTGACGATTGTATTGTGTGTTATCTCGTATGTAATTTGGTTTAGTTTTATTGCGTTTTTCGAAGATACTTCGGTGTTCTAGAGCTTATAGTTAATTACTTAATTTCCTGTCTTAATTGTGTAATTGTGTTTAATCCATGTTGCTCTTATATCGTTTTAATGGACGATGTTATCGTGCAAGTAAACATGGGCATCATAAAATTTGGAATAATCAATCAATTATCACTAATTCTAACACTACAACCCATGAGTAGTGTGCAATAGCCATGTCGTTTGTATTATCACCACAAAATGCCAAAGTATGTGAGAGAATCTTCCCTTCTCATAGATTACATTTTGCAAACCTCCATGAATAGTGCGAAATAACTAACTCACTACAAAAAAAACGGAAGGTGTGGAGGAACACGATAGGTTGTGATTGGGAAATTTGCTGTCTGTATAGGTCAGTTGGATTGCTTTTGGAGATGCCTTTCATATAGACAAGATCCTTGTTAGGTATATTTTTTTAGCAGATGTACGTTTTGTGGTTGTTATATAGGTAATATCTTTTTCAGGAGACGTACGTTTTGTGGCCTTTATATAGGTCATGTCAAGTTAAAGCATCTCCAATAAATAAGTTTTTATAAATACTTATTTCATTTTTTAGGCCGACCACTATACTACATAGAAACGATACACTATACTACATATAAACGATAGCGATACCGTGTCCCACAAAAGGCAAGCATCCCTTATAGCAAACAACAAATTGTCTTGCTGACTAGATTTTCCATTACCAAATTCATAAAAACAAAAAACTCTAAAAAAAACCTTTTACACCAATATAATGTAACTTCATATAAACTTTTTTGTATCTCTTGAGAGTGACTTAGGTCCCATTTGATGGTTGCTGACTGAAAATAGTCTGTCTAGGTAAGAAATTCTGATTGAGAATAGTCTGTATAGGTAAGAAATCCTGATTAAGTAAGAAATCATGCAATTTGATTATATATCTGAATGTGTTAACTGATGAAAAATAACTATTCTTCCCTTTTTTGATGGATGAAGTTGTTGAAGAGTTGTAAAAACATACATTTTAAGCACAAATTTGATTCAACATTTAGAACAAAGCATACATATAATATTTTTGTACCCAAAATACCCCTGTTCATGAAAATACCATAAATAACAAAACAAATCAACAATACACCAATTAGCAATCCAAGACCATTGATTGAACAATTTCCTTTGATATTGAAATCGATTCACATTTTTGAAGCCATCGATTTTTAATCCAATATCAAGTTCATAAGGCAAGACTATGAAACTATGATTCAAGATTTCTTCCCACGCGGATGAAAACGGTGACAAGGACAAAAACCATAACAAATTCAAGATTTCTGCAAAAAAAAGAGAAACTTGTTCAAAATTTAAAAAATGTAATCAAGATTTCACTTGCTTTTTATAAAGTATAAACTACTTGTTTGCTTTTTTAACTCACTAAACAAAATAAATAAATAAATAAATAAATAATGGAACTGCATTAATTAAAATCTATGTAGTTGAAACGTACTTCATCACAAAAACATAAAATATGTTTACAAAGCACAAAGAAATTAGCAAACTGAAATATATACAAAGTTGCAACTTCAACATTCTATTAACAAGAATATAAGCACATATTAGACAAGATATGTATAGCTCCTAAGAGCCTCTTTTCTTCTTACAACCCCTTTTCTAATGATACTAATACCTCCTAACAGGTTTCAGTTGCAATACATGGAGTCATTGCTTGTAAGCAAGCAACTGGGAAGCTTGCTTCATAAAGTGAGTAATCATGTCTCTCTTTTTTATTTGCTTGGTCTCTAGCTTTTTCCATTTCCTATCATCGAGTTTGACAATGGCAAGGTGCTTCAAACAGTTCAGCCTAAACAAAGTCATATAAAAATGAAGTGGAAACTACTATAATTTCTAAATCTTCAAGGAATCGATATCAATTTTGCATATTAAAGTATTAGATTTCAAGTAAAAGTAAAATAATAGTCGAATTTAAGCAAAAAAAGGCATAACTTGCAAAATTTGGAGCCATTTTAGGGTTAATTAACCATAAAATTGATTTTAACATAACAATTCGATACAAAAGCACTTGAATATTGATCTCAGTAGTTGATCTTACTAAACAAAGTAGGATTTGGCAAATGATCGATAATGAATCGAACAAAAAGTGAATTGAATCGATGATAAATCAGAACTTAAATCGGACAGAAAAATCAGAATTGTGGCTATGGAGAAGAAGCATGAACAAAAAAAATCAGAAAAATAGAAGCAAAATAAGTACCTGGATGAGAAGAGGCAGAAGGCGTCGAAAGAGGAAGGGTATGACTAGGGCACAAGTGGAAAGCGTATCCCCATTTTCTCAGTCAACTAGTTTCCTCATTCTATCTGAATCAGACCATTCTTACCGTGTCAGATGCCTAAAGTTGGATTAACAAACACGTTTTACTGATCGAGTCAACAAAAAACGTCTGTCGGTCGGACGTATATCAAATAGGACCTTATACAAGAAAAAAAGAATTTAAATTTTTTTGCTTGAAAATCATAATTCTCAACATGACATATTAAAAATGTTAAACGTTTTTAAAATCTTGGATCGGAGATGTTTTTATATAACTATTTTGAAGACCTACATTTGGTTCCGTAATATAGGTCAATGGAGAAGGTGATACATCATCGTCAAAACGTCGTAACTTTTTTTTATTTTTAATAAGCATGATTATTCAATACATGTCCATGTGACACTAAATCATAGAATGTGTAGAAATGTTTTTAGCGTGTGTATATATATATATATATATATATATATATATATATATATATATATATATATGTTCAGGTTAATTTGAGATCATGTTAATTTTGTGAGACCGTGAGAACAAATCTAAAAATAAAAAAAATAAACAAAAAACATTTTTAAAATGAAAAATAATTGATAATTTTCGAAATGTTTTTCAGGTTATTTGAGACCAAGCTAATTTTGTGAGACCGTGCGACCAAATCTAAAAATAATTTTAAAATGCAAAATAAAAGGAAAAATCCAAAAAAAAAATTTAATTATTATTTTCGGAACTATAATTACCTAAAAAAAATAAAAATAATAATAATAAAATAATAAAAAAAATTACCCTTTTTTTTAAAATACGTGAAATATTCTAATAGAATATTAAACTGTAAATATTCTAATGTGATTTTTAGAATGTTAGAATATTGTATTAGATTTTTCAGATATGTAGAATATTCTAATATTCCACTATAATATGTAAAAAATGTATTTTTATATTATTTTTTTAAGGTATTTTTTTTTTGGAAAATATAAATTCCGAAAATAATATTTGAAATTTTTTTTTTTCGAAAATTTTCAATTAGTTTGCATTTTAAAAATGTTTTTTTTATATATATACTAAATGAATGACTAGGATTGCGTCTCACGGTCTTACAAAATTAGGCCGTCTCATAGGGTTAGGTTCATTTGAGACGGCCTAATTTCGTGAAACCGTAAGACGCAATCCTAGCTACTCATTTAGTAGATAAACAAAAAGCATTTTTAAAATGCAAAATAATTGAGAATTTTCGAATTGTTTTTTCAAATATTATTTTCGAAATTTATATTTTCCAACAAAAAATAATAAAAATACCAAAAAAAAATAAATAAATAAATAAATAAAAATATATATTTTTTACATATTCTAATAGAATATTAGAATATTCTACATATCTGACACATCTAGTACAATATTCTAACATTGTAAAAATCACATTAGAATATTTACAGTGTAATATTCTATTAGAATATTTCACGTATTTTTCAAAAAAAACGGTAATTTTTTTTATTTTTTTAATTTTTTTAGGTAATTAAAGTTCCGAAAATAATAATTAAAAAAAGATTTTTTGGATTTTTCCTTTTATTTTGTATTTTAAAATTATTTTTAGATTTGGTCTCACGATCTCACAAAATTAGCATGGTCTCAAATGAACATGAACCTATATATATATATATATATATATATATATATATATATATATATATATATATATATATATATATATATATATATATATATTTCCACACTAAATATAAAATTATAAGAGTTTAAATGAAATAAGATCATAGGAAACTAAGTAATCTAACCCCGTATAAATGAAGTAACTGGAAAAAATAACCTATTTTTTTTGTTTAAAATAACTACTTTGTCTGAAATAAGTCATTCCAGAGAGATATTTTATTTTTATTTTTATTTTTATTTAATATAAAAATAACCCAAAGTAGGATTCCGCACAAGCATTCCAAAAAAGTAAATTTTTTATTTTTATTTTTATTTATTATTTATTTTTGTTTTTTTTGTATAATATGTGTTTTGCAAAGTTCTAAAAAGTTCACAATGACTCCAAGACTTGTACTTCACGCCAAGTTTTGGCAAAATGTCTCCTTAAGTCATATATATATATATATATATATATATATATATATATATATATATATATTAATTATATTAATTATATACAAAATTGTCGCCTTAAGTCACGCCTTACAAACGTCATGGCTCGCCATGTTTCAAAAAAAGCTTAAGGTTTGCCATTGCCGCCAAGTCACGCTTTACGTTATTTAGAACCTTGGTGTTTTGCGTTAATTTTTTTGTTTTTTGTTTTTGTATTGTAATGTCCATGTTTCTAGGCTAGGCATTAATATTTATGTGATAGTCTAGGTTGACCTTTGTAACATTATTTTAAAGAAATTAAAATGAATTATGTGAATATTATGTAAATTATGTGTTTTATGCTTAATTATTAGGATTTAATTAATTAAGAATTAAAAAGGAGCGTCGAAAATAAATATTAGATA